TGATGATGATGATGATGATGTATGCAGCTGCTTTGTAGGAGGGAGGGTGACGCACCGTAACACAGGCCCAGTTATAACACATACACACCCTTACTTAATCAATTGAGCTGAGACCTTCTTGAGCAACTTCCACTCAAGAACTTTTCAGAATTTTATGGAGCCCCAAGGTTTATTACTGTGTTCACAAGAACCTTCCTCTGGTCCCTATCCTGAGCCAGATCGATCCAGTCCACACCACCCAATTCTATCTCCCTAAGATCCATTTCATTATTATCCTCCAGCCCATGCCTGTCTTTTTTTTTAATTCGCTAGTGGGGGGTGGAGTCCAGTTGGGTCCACTCTGGCCACTGATTGACCTATTGTAGCCCGCCCAGGGTGATTGTGATGATGGAGAATTTGGTGCACTGAAGATTGGCAGGGGAAACCAAAGTAGTCGGAGAATACGTGCCCCAGGGCCACTTTGTCCACCACAAATCCCACTTGACCAGACCCGGGATCGAACCCGGGCCACCGCGTTGGGTAGCCAGCGACTAACCGCTTGAGCTTCCGTAATGCCAGAGACCAAGTTCCACACCCCTACAGAACCACAGGCAAAATTATACTTTTATATACACGTATTATAATATTTGCTTCTTTATAGAAAACCCTGTCATACACGTTACAGATCTTATCTCTGTCAGTTTACGTGGCGAAACACAATTGGGTTTCTGCTGAGAACGGCAAGGTCTGCAGACATCTATAACACAAAACAACTTACCAACTCCTGATGTATACGGGGTTCAATTAGAGCCTGACAATAAACATGAACAAATGAGTGCAGTAAACTCTCGTTAATCCAGTTACGGTTAATCCGGATGTCGGATAGTCCAGATCGAAATATGAAAAAATGAGAAATTCTGTTCACAGTTGGGTACGTACTTCAAAAGACACGTGGGATGTATTTTAGGAAACCGACCCCTAACAATAAACATGAAATGAGTGCAGTAAACTCTTGTTAATCCTTCATTGATTTTTCATCTCCCTTTCAATTCTATTCTCCTCCTTTCTCATCCTCCTCTTTCTCATTTCCTTCCTCAAACTCTTCCTCGAGTTCTTCTTTTCCTTCCACGAGGCCGGGATAGCTCAGTCAATATAGTGACAAGGATATGCGCAGGAAAACCAAGGATTTGGTGTTCGGGTCTCGGGTGGTGGGCAAATCCCCGAGATGAAAGCAGCTCGGGCGTTAAGCTTAAAATTCACTTTCTTCTAGTGCCGAAATCAAGAATGCGTGGAGTTATATCTCCATTTCATTTACTCTACATAATCCAGTACTTCAGTGTGTTACTGAATAGACGGCGTTATGTTCCAGTGACGTAAATAGGTTCTCGCAAGATTGTTTTCAAAAAGATAATTTTGTGATGTGAGTGTCTCACCTTGACTCGTTTTTAGCCAACCTTATATGTATATTCAGCAACTCCACAAAAACATGACACGGCCGTTTCCTTCCCGTTCCCTTACTTCAGTCATCAATGAGCGATTTAGCACTGTCTTCTTCCTAATGCACATAATATTGTGACATGTTGACCCCTACCTCCCCAGCGGTACGTGGCGGTAACGTAACGCTCGCGTTATTACGGTAATAGGCGAGTTCCCGCCCCGCCACTCCCCTCCGCGGTGANAAATCTTCCAAAGCAGGGGTAGCCAAGACACACTCAGTCCACTCAAGAAATTCCCGCGATATCATGGAGCCCCAAATCTTACCGCAGATTTCACAGGGGCCTCCTATTGACCCTTATCCTAAGCCAGATGAAACCAATCCAAATTCAAAGCACATTCTTGTAAGTTCTATTTTAATATTATACATCCATCTACGTATAGGTCCTTCTATTTTTCTCTTTGCTCAGGTGTTCCTACCAAAAACCTGTAGATACTCGTCTTCACTATCATGCGTGCTACATGTCTTATAATTCTCATTCTCTCTGACTTGTTATAATGATATTTGGCTTTGAGTACCACGTACAAGTGAATATCAGTGCCTCACACTCAGAAATTCTGAAGCCGCAGACATATGAGGATTGGATAGGGCAGATATTTTGGACTCCATTTCATCCATTTGTATAAGAAAGGGATTGAACAATATTATTTTCTAAAATCGCGTTAAAGGTTCAAACGAGCCGCAAGCGACTAGCGAGCAGCTGTTTGGGCACCTCTGATCTAAAGTCTTATGATGCACGTTGCGTATATTTGCTCCTTGGTAACGTCTGAAGGAACTGGAAACAGATTCGGCGTGAATGTCATTACGCCTGGGTGAATTCCCCTGCCTCGTGTTTTTCACACTAAAACGTCCAGCTTTCAGATCTCAGGGAGCCTTTACAAGTCTGGATTGGCGACGTTTTATTTATCCGTCTCCTATTTACTTCCCGGACTCTGATGTGCCATTCCAGGAAATTCTAACAAAATCCACAAATCGCATGGTCATTCAGCTCGTCGAGAAACCTCTCGCTTCTGTGAAGCGTGAAGATCCTTTACTGCCAGTATCTGGTCCCTATCTTGAGCCGGATTAATCCAGTCTACATCGTGACATCCAATTTCTTTACGATCCATCGGGTCCAAACATTTATACAAATCCCTTACCCTCCCCATATATGCTGCATATTCCTCCAGTCACATCGTGTCTAGTTTGATTCTGTTCGTTAAGAAAAAGACAAGATATCATTAAGTATAGTAAAACAAACTCCGTGGCCTGTAGTCCGAAAGCGAACAATACCGACCGAGCGACGCCGCTTGTCGGCGAAGTTAGTGCCAACTTTTGTGGATAGAGGGTGTCGCGTGGTCTGGGCGCTATGAATCTGGGGTCGACTTAGCCTCTAACAGAAATGAGTACCAGGAATCTTTCCGAGGGGTAAAGGGCGGCCGACGCGTAAGGCTGACAACTTCGCCGTCTGTAGAGCCAGTTGCCTGGAAAATGTGGGAACCTCGACGTATCACAAACCTATAGGCCCCCACGGTCTCTTACAGGGATAGTTTCACCTTTAAGATTGCTTACTCAGGTGTGACGTACATTTAAAATGTTTTAAACAAAGTATACCGATGTTTAAGCTGTAGATACTGTCCCCCAGTGGGATCATCAGAAAGGTTGGCACATATCTACCAGACTATACGATATCATAATGTAGAAGGCGACACTGATGCTGTACTCACAGGAATTGAGGGCCGCCGCCCTGATGTGTCGGGTAGACTACGATGCTGGGCCCTGCGCCGTCTCCGTCTGCAGACTTCCGGCGCCTGATCAACCAGACCGTCGTCACTAGCACCAAGAGTACCACCGCGACAGCAGCTACCAGCGGCAGCACCAGGCCTGCACCAAACAGCAGAGCGAGTTTCAGAGTTTGCACACAAATTCTGAGAGGGTGAAGAGCGTTGCTGAGAGCAGAGCCATTACTCAGCAGGTTAGTGAGCAAGAGATGACGCAGTACTCAGCAGATTAGTGAGCAAGAGATGACGCAGTACTCAGCAGGTAGGTGAGCAAGAGATGACGCACTACTCAGCAGGTTAGTGAGCAAGAGATGACGCACTACTCAGCAGGTAAGTGAACAAGAGATGACGCAGCTCTCCTCTTCAGATTTTCTATGCTAACCCCATCGTTCTACATGGCTAACCTAAATTCACGAAGAACACTCCCTTGTAGTCACAGAATTACTGGTTTTTTTTAGACTTTTCCATCGTCTGGAATTCTAGGTAGTACAAGACATGACATTTCAGAAACTGGATCTGTTTCCCGTCTTCAGGTGAGGAAGGAAAACTCTGGAGTGATTGAGATTAGTTCTTTCTAAGGGGCACAACTGAGTAGGTGTCTTCCTTCCTCACCTGAAGACAGAAACAGATCCAGTTTCGGAAACGTCGTGTCCTCTATTACCTAGAATTCTGGACGATGGGAAAAGTCCAAAATCCCTGTATTTCTGTATCAACCACTATCATCAGAACCCTTTGGAATCTACTCCCCTGTAGTGTTGACATGCTTGTCCTTCGTAATTCATGCAGCATCCAATCGACTGATTCGATAATGCCACTAGTCAATACCGTGAGCCAGTTCAATCCAATTCACATCGTAATAACATATTTCTTTGAAATCCGCTTTGAAATTATTCTCTCAACTATGCCTACAATACTAAGTGGTCCTTCACTTTAATTCTCCGAACTGAAGTACGGTTATTCTATTAGGGCACGCGGTAGCATAGTTGATTGAGGCACTACGCTACAAGCCGGAAGGTAGCGGGTTCACTTCCCGATGAGATTATTGAATTTTTCAATTGACCTAATCTTTCCAACTTCACTATGGCCCTGGGGTCGACTCAACCTCTAACATACGTGTAAATGAGTACCAGGAATCGTCCTGGGGGTTAAGAGCGGCCGGAGCGTAAGCCTGACTTCACCGCCATCTGTGAGCCGATTGTCTATAAAACGTCTCACAACTCTGTGGGCCTCCACTGCCTGTTACAGGGATAGCTTTACCTTTTTTACGTAGTTCTCATCTCTCTCATGACTGCTACATTCCCCTCCAATTGCAGTCTCCTTGATTTCACTACTCGATTTTTAACAGCATGCACTCGTTGTATCAGCCTCTGATAAAATGTGCAATGATGAGTGCTACTCTGTTCATCACAAATTCACACGAACTTACCTGGGATTGAGCCCGAGCCTCAACGTAAACGAGAAGCCAGAAAATACATGCCCAAGCTATAGAATGGCCTGTACTTTTATCTAATTTTTCCGGACATTTATTTTAAATTGTTAGCGTCTGGACTGTATAACGTAGAAATATTAAGGTGATATGTGATGAAACTGAAAAGATTTGGAAGAAATCTATCGGGTCCAATTGAGATATAATTCTGGACATTACCTGAAGGGACTAGTGGAATCCAACTGGGTCCACTCAACACGACGGCCACTGATTTAGCCGGAGTGTCAGCCGAGATTTAAACCAAGCACCTAACTGTAAGAATAGAAATTTAATTCTATGCTAACCTGTTACTGCCTGCCTGTAAATTTCGAATACTCTGCTTACTGCCCTCTCTCAAATCAGATTTGTTTTTGGAAAGCTGAAATTTGATCCCCCAGCCCCGAAGGAGGGCACGCCACAGTCACAATTTAATCCACAAATCTCCAAAAACAAGACACAGGAAGATAAAAGATTCTGAACTGAACAGAAATTTGTAATTAGACTGATATAACTGAGCGTCTCATGGACGAGAACGGGGTCAAGAATGACATAGCCCTGTTTTATATTCAACAGCATCGCGGGAGACAGAGAATTTGCTGATTGGTACTGAGGCCACAATTTTGCGTGCTTCATTTGTTTTGCTAATAATGCGAATAATCTCTGGTCAGGTGTACGTGTTCTGCTTTATTAATTGTCTATTCCAGTGAAGTGAGTGGCTTTCATTTTCTGCCATGTGACCTTAATCCATGGCAACGTCGGGCTCTGAAATGGAAAGCAGATAATGCCTTCTTGATACTATTAATTTCCCTTCCAGTGTTCGAAAGGGCATATGTCACGCAGATCCGCCATTCTTCTACTTTGAATATATTTCTTATTCAAGATAATCAACTGAGAGAATATTATTGTCGTAGGCATAAAATATAAAATGTATTTGCAGTTATTCAGCAACAGAATTTACTATTTATTGGAAAATATAAGAAAAACATCTAAAATGATTCTCAAATGTCAGAATGAGTAAGAAGAAGAATTCTTCACAAACATTTGCATTTAAGACGGATGCGTCTGTCAGTCAGGTCATTAAAGAACAATTAATTCTGTTATTTGGGAACGACGATAACAAATCAAAACCTGATTTAGGAGGAAATTAAGAGGAGATTGTACTCGGGTAATGCTTGCTACAATTCACCCCAGAACCTTTTGTCTTCTCGTCTGCTGGCCAGAAACATAAGTATTAGAATACACAAAATTACAATTTTGCCTGTGCTTCTGTATGGGTGTGAAATTTTGTCTCTGATATTAAGGGAGGAACATAGACTGAGGGTGTTTTAGAAAACGGTATTGAGGAGAACATTTGGAAGAAGAGAAATGACAGGATGTTGGAGAAAAATGCATAATGATCAGCTTATTACTGTTAATCTTCCCTAAGTAGAATTAGAATGATCGGGAAAAAGGATAATGAGAAGGGCAGGACATGTAGCACGAATGGGGGGGAAAGAAGTATATAGGATATTGGTGGAAAAGCCAGAATGAAAGAGCCCACTGGGAAGACCAAGGCGTAAGTGGGTGGACAATATTAAAATGGATTTGAGAGAGATAGGATGGGATGGTATTGATTGGATTAACCTGGCTCAGGATAGGGACCAGTGGAGGGCTCCTTTGAACACGGTAATGGATCTTCAGGTTTCATAAAATGCTGGGAATTTCTTGAGTAGCTGCAGAACTGGCTGCTCCTCAAGAAGGACTCAGCTCAATGCGACGTCTGGTGTTGCTATTACAGTGATATGCAGCAGGTTACGGCGAGATCGGACTGTACTTTGGATCAGATTAAGATATACTTCGAAACGTTCTACAGGACTCTCTTCGATGATTGCCATTTAAGAACACCGTGTAAATGAAGGTAACATTAAAAACGTATATTTCAAAATTATATTCTTAGCATGGAAGGTGGATGGAACTGGCTCAGGTTCGTGTCCAATTGCGGGCCCTGTTATTAGCGGGTTTGGAACTTCGGGTTCTGCTACCTGAGAGTTAATTAGTAAGATGCATCTCAGGGAAACAGGTTCTAAGGATGACAGTTGGATGGAACTGGCTCAGGATTGTGTCCAGTGGCGGGCTTTGGTATTAGCGGTGTTGAACCTTCGGGTTCTGCTACCTGAGAGTTAATTAGTAAGATGGATCTCAGGGAAACAGGCTGTAAGGATGGGAGGTAGATGGAACTGGCTCGGGATCGTGTCCAATGGCGGGTTTTGGTATTAGCGGTGTTGAACCTTCGGGTTCTGCTACCAGAGAGTTAATTAGTAAGATGGATCTTAGGGAAACAGGCTGTGAGGATGGGAGGTGGATGGAACTGGCTCAGGATCGTGTCCAGTGGCGGGCTTTGGTATTAGCGGCGTTGAACCTTCGGGTTCTGTTACCAGAGTCAGTTAATTAGTAAGATGGATCTTAGGGAAATATGTTGTGAGGATGGGAAGTGGATGGAACTGGCTCAGGATCGTGTCCAGTGGCGGGCTTTGGTATTAGCGGTGTTGAACCTTCAGGTTATGCTACCAGAGACTCAGTTAATTAGTGAGATGGATCTTAGGGAAACAGGTTGTGAGGGTGGGAGGTGGATGGAACTGGCTCAGGATCGTGTCCAGAGGCGTGCTTTGGTATTAGCGGCGTGGAACCTTGGGTTCTGCTACCAGAAATTTGGTTAATCAGTAAGAGGGATCTAATGGAAGCAGGTTGTGAGGAAGGGAA